GATGGGAAAGCGAAATGTTTATTCTAGTTCTCGATCAAGAGCAGGAGACGTAATAATTACACTGCAAATTGCAAAGCAAGAAGCGCTCTGAACTAAATCACATCACACTAAATAATGATCAACGTCTATATTTTATATTCGGTGGCCTAGGTACTAATGTGACCGCTGGCCGGAAACGGAGGCTGGGCAATATTACGACAATGTTGTTTTTGGGGACGTTAGCTACGCTTCTTTCCTCCAATAGATCATTAGTAAGAACCGATCAAAATGCTTGGAGAATTCAGCTTATCTTAGGAATTATATTAAATCGACATTTCCTCTAACAAGTTTGTTGATCTATGGTGCCCTTTTTTGTTCGAATTTAGCAATACTGTGTAATAATACTGTGTATGCTTGATTGAGGTATTGAAAATATCCTCGCCTCTATATTAATAGTTGAACGATTCTCTTACAGGCTTGCTTACGCCTTCGTGGATCTCAACCAGAATCACGGCTTTAGAAAAGTCTGCAACGAATCTCCCGAGTAAGTACATGATCCGAAACAATTATTTGTTGTCAGTTAAACATGTGAAAGTGTAGTGTGATCGTTCGGGTGATTGTAGTCCTGAAAAGGACTGTTGTCGGTGGTAGTGACTGACATTTCGACAACCTGTGCGGAAGTCGTTATCAAAGTCAAGTGAATAGTTGTTGTCAGTAGAATGCTCTTAGTCCAGTTCGTGTAAAATGATTGGTCAGTTTTGCCGTGATGTTATTGGCTGTAAGACTCAAGTAGCGTAAGTCGGTCCTGACTGCTCTGTTTCGATCCGTTGGTAAAGTTAGGTCGTTCTGTTCGGTTCGTTTGTATGGAGCCGGTAGTAGTTATCGGCCGCTTTGATAACTATGTCTTTGCGTTTTCTAAGACTTTTTAGAGCCGACAACCCTTCAGAAGAGAGATTAGAAAAATTGGTAATACGTTTCAAATTGAGGTTGTTGATATCGTGGCGGCATTTTTTGATAAAAAAGTCTAATGATGCGAATTGGCCCTCTGGGGGAGTCCATTTAGACTTTCGAGTCTGAAGTGTTTCGAAAGTGTCTTTGTTCGAGGTGTTAGAATCATCCTCTTTGTTGTGAAAAAAGGCTTTTAATTGAACGCGGCGAAGGAATTTTTCTACGTCTTGTTTAATTGAGAATTCGTCCGTTGTTTTAGAAATGGGAACGAAATTTAAGCCCTTACTGAGGACGGATTTTTCTGAATCGGAAAGTGAGAGGTTTTCTGGAATGGTAACTACAGTTTTGAGGTTTTCTGGTGATGAGTGGTTAGCGATTTGGGGACCGATAAGTTGGTCAAGTTTTTGGGCCTTAATTTGGTT